AATCTAACCAGGCCTACCTAATCTAACCAGGCCTACCCAATCTAACCAGGCCTACCCAATCTAACCAGGCCTACCTAATCTAACCAGGCCTACCCAATCTAACCACGCCTACCTAATCTAACCAGGCCTACCCAATCTAACCACGCTACCCAATCTAACCACACCTACCTAATCTAATCATGCCTGCCTAATAAAACCACGCCTACCTAATCTAACCACGCCTACCTAATCTAACCACGCCTACCTAATCTATCCACGCTACCTAATCTAACCACACCTACCTAATCTAACCACGCCTACCTAATCTAACCACGCCTATCTAACCTAACCACGCCTACCTAATTTAACCATGCCTACCTAATCTAACCACGCCTACCTAATCTAACCACGCCTACCTAATCTAACCACACCTTCCTAATCTAACCACGCCTACCTAATTCAACCATGCCTATCTAATCTAATCATGCCTACCTAATCTAACCAGGCCTACCTAATCAAATCATGCCTACCTAATCTAACCACGCCTACCTTATCTAACCACGCCTACCTAAGAGTAAGGTCTGTCCTAGTCTGGTAAGTTCTGCAATCTGTTCTCTGCGTGGATATGTTGGCGTAATGAAGAATATGGTGGAGGGGGTGTGACGACCCCGGGCACTCCCACAAACTAATCAAACAACACACAGGTTTAATATGGATTCCTTGTCATGTCAACCTTTATTTACGGTTTCTCATTTCAGATTCACAACGTTACCATTCAAAACTTTATCTGAGAAACAATGGGGAGGATATGATTGTTATTGCATATTAAAAAGGGGATTTGAATTCTGTAAATTATGTTCATTATCTCTGCTGCATAAAATCCGAAAGTTACTTACAAAGAGAAACCAAAATTAGAAATTAGTAATTAAAAAAATTTTTACATGGAAAAAGAGAATATTTTGCTACTACAAACAAATAAAAAAAGGTTAAATTGGACAAAAAGTCAACATTTCAAAAAAAAGAAACAGAACTTTTTTGGATAATATATATAATACAATATACAGTATACATAGTATTAGAAAAGATGTTAAAAGAAAAAATCTAGATTGAGGTTACAACAAAAAGATAATAAATTAGATGTAGAAAAAAGGTGTTTATATTGGATATTAAGTTTTCTAATGTATAAATGTAAAAGTTTATAAAAAATGTGTCAATGGCAATTACAAATGACACAAAGTTTCTATTGGGACAGTATGTAATTTTTTTAAATATTGTCCTAAAAAACTAAATGTTTAAAAAGTGTAAATGTATGGAATGAGTCAAGGAGAGTAATGTGAGATTAAGATGCTGTGTGACATTTTCCTGTACTCTGTTCAACTCCTTGTGCTGGGTATATCGGGGCATTCATCCTAAAATAAATTTAGAATTTTGAATTAAACATAAAATTTGCTGTCACATAACAGTCGCTCTGTATACTCCATGAATTAGCTCTATAAACCTGCATACTCAAGAATTATCAAAATCTTAAACTCTATAAACCTGTATACTCCATGACTACTCTAAACCTTGAGCTCTATAAACCATACTTCATGACTGCTATAAACCTTGAGCTCTAAAAACCTGTATACTCCATGACTAATCTAAACCTTGCGCTCTATGAATCTTTATACTCCATTAATAATCGGAACCTGAGCTCTATAAACCTGTATACTCTATGACTAATCTAAACCTTGGCTCTGTCAACCTTAACACTCTCAACTTACCAACACACTCCATGACTTATCAAAACCTAGAGCTCTATAAACCTGTATACTCCATGACTACTCTAAACCATAGGATCAGTAAACCCGTATACTCCATGCCTTACCTGAACCTTGATCTCTATAAACATGTATATAATCTATGACTTACCTGAACCTAGAGCTCTAGTAATTTGTAAACTCTAGGACTAATCTGAACCTTGAGCTCTGATAACCCCAATACTCTATGACAATCAAAACCTTGAGCACTATAAACCTGCATACTCCATGACTTATATAAAACCTTGAGCTCTATAAACTTGTCTACTCCATGAATTATCAAAACCTTGAGCTCTATAAACCTGTACAGTCCATGACATAAAATTGTAGTCTGTAGAATAGGAAGTTTAAGTCAAAAAGTGGTCTTCTTGTTCCACAGTTGCTAGGGTCCCACTGTATGACTAACCTGAACCCTGGTGAGCCACTGAAGACAATGTAGAAGACTGAAGCTGAGCCAAGGATTAAAACCAGGAACAATTTCTGTTTCCCCATCCTAGCTTCAGGAATGGGAGAAGGTATATTAATTAAAAGCAATTAGTAGTTGATAGTTTAGGGGGTCCATTAGTTCCAAAACTAACACTTGGCCCATTTCTAACACTCAGTGTTAGAAATGGACACACATTGAAAGACTGTGTTTTTTGGGATCCCAGCCCATATCCAGAGTAAAAGTCAATAATAAAAACTATAACCAACATATTATTAAACATGATGAGGGCAACAATTCCCAATTTTAAACTTTTTTTAAAATCAAAATTATGATAGGAGTTCTTTTTATATTAAAGCTCTTGACCATTTTCAAGACAATGTTAGGTTTTCCATTTTTGAACATATCTTGAATTTGAAACATTGTCGCGTTTTTCGAGACAAACGTTTTAGAGAATAATTCACAATTCAAAACAAAACTCACTTTCATAACTTACAAATCACTGAAAACAAAAATTATCTTATGAAGACTAAACTAACTTCTGAATTATTTCTAGAATATAAGTTTCCACATTGTATCTGTTAAATTAGAGAATATATCAAACAAAAGATAAAATTACCTTAAGATTTTCTAGAACTGTTTTGTGTTTTTTGTCTTCTTGTAGCTTGCAAAACTTGTCATTTCCTTTCTTTTTTTTCAGATATGTTTCTCTCTTGTATTTTGATGATTTTCTTGGATTTGTTTGACCAGAATTCAGGTTTGCATGATGTTGTTAGGTAATCATGGTATCAAGGTTATAAGGAAGAGTCCAGTGTATACTGTATATTGATGAGGATGCGGTACTGAACAGCTGATTCAGAAAGATAGATAGATAGATAGCTTGTTACACCGATAGATAGATAGATGGTTTTATAGATGGTTATAGATGGTCATATAGAGATAAATAGATGGTTACACAGATAGAAAGATGTTCATTAACTTTTGATAGATATATTTATGGCTATATAAAAATAGAAAGATAGTTAGATGGTTATAGAGATAAATAGATATTAAAAAACTTTTGATACATTGTTATAAGGACAGATAGATAAATGGTTTCACATCTTAATAATATATAGTATACTTTTATATTAATAACAAAACATATACTTTTTAATAACAATTTAAAGTTGAGCACTATTTGTATTATGTTTATTTTCATTGACAGTGATTCATTTTAAAAATCCGCGAAAATATTTAGCCCTGCAAGTTTCAGGGATCCAACATGATCAACTGGGACGCTATGTTCCTTATCATATTTGATAATATGATTATATCCAATCTGTTTAAGTCAAAATACGCACATAATACTAAAAAAATCTAATATTTTCTGCAAGAAAACTTTTATAGTAACCTTATACATTTTTTTGAAAAAATTCAGTTTTTTAATTTTCTGATTATAGTCCTTAAAATCACAATTTTGAGCTTTAAACGATCTAATATGATGTAGGACACCCTGTATGTTACGTTAAGTCATTTATTGGGAAGTAAGGGGCGATTTTAAGAGAGAAGAAGAAAAATATAAATAAATTCCGTAGATGATTTACTAGCAGAACCTTTTCGTAAGAGGGGGTCACCCTTGACACCTCCTCTCCACACCCCCCCCCCCGTGAAAAATAAAAATTTAGCATGTTTTTTATATTTAATATTTAAAGATGGTTATATATAATATATATTATTCTCGATGGTTCTATACAAAAAGGTTTTTTATCACTCTTTTCTAATTCTACACTTCTTAAAGTATTTAAAAAAAATTAAGATGGTTAAATAAATAAAAAAATGAGAATTCAATAGAGCTGTTTTGGTAGTTGCGGCCTCTTAACCCCTCTAGTTTTGATGTTTCACCCAAGAGTGAGAACATAAAACTTGTTTGGTTGATATAAGAATTTCAAAACTATTTGAAATTTAAGATAGAACTTGCTGCAAACAGCATTTTTGGGACGCAGTTTTGAGCATGTAGATTGTAGATAATTGTAAATACGTAAATTGGACAGCTAGAAATTACATCATGACATTTCAGAGGTGAACATTTTCTCTAAAAATCATTTTTAGTGAGACATCAATGAATTTTTGGGTATTAAGTATCAAAAAATGAAAAAAGTCAAAAATCATCCCCCCCCCCCCTGTAACATTCCATAACAATAGTTTCTTATTGTTGAATTACTATACAAATCAAATCCAAAAAATATTTTTTGTCATTGAGTACTCACCCAACAGCTGCTACTGATGCACCAAATAGGTCAGGTCGCTGGTTTGTACAAGCACCAACCTGTACAATAAATATGCACAGCAAAACATATTGTCAAATGTACGCTATTGTAAAATGAACACTATGGTACTATGAGCGCTTTTATTGTAAGCAATGTACAATGAATAAGAGTGCAGAATGAACTGTGAATTGTGTATTAACTTTTTAATTTATTAGAAATTTTCCATTCTCAAAAATTCACAAAAATTACTAACATACCGGGGAAATTTTATTTGAAGGGAGATGATTTTTCAAGATAATTAACACCCTGGAATTTTTGATTAAGTTCTTACCAACATTCCACCATGTGAGCCTCCATAAATAGTGAGCTTAGAGTTAGTTGTATACTTCTCTTTAATCAGATACTCCCCAGCACACTTAATAAAAATATTAAAACAAAAACATTATAATATAAAAATTAAGAATATGTTCTGAATTTTCAGCCAAAAACAATTTTGAAATACTACAGAATTCATGTCATGGTTTGAAATTTTTTATTTTATTTGGCACTCACTATAGGTTCTATTATTTTTTGATAAACTAATTTTGTTTTATTTCCTCAGTGAAACATTAAACAATTAGAAGTCACAGAAAATGTGTTTGTGGCTAGTGAGAAATTGCCAAAATATGAGCTGTTTTTCCAATTCCTTCAAGTGGATATCAAGTTCAATGGTCTGGTGTAAAAAAGTTCTGATCTCCAGTACGTTAATAGGCTGACCTGGAAGTCAGTGAGACAGTTCTGGAGGTTCTCCTGTCTACCACCATTCTGCCAAGATTCTCCGTACTCTCCCCCACCACGAATATTAGCAATAGCCTAAAAACAGTATCATCTATTGAAAGTATAATTCTTCAGACATATTTCAAGGCAACTCGTGGATCAAAATAAACTTGGTAAAAATAGTGCTTTAATTATCAACCATCCATCAATAAATTAGGAGTTTGTTCAGGACTGAAAAGCTGAGAGAAAATCACTACATTTTATTTTTGTTGACCACATATAGATATTGACTTTATTTACCCATTTAAATACAAGCTAAACCAAGTTTCATTAAATACTGACCATAATTCCAAAGTGCTGAACAAAGAACGTATTAGTTGTGCTGAAGTAGGGTGTAAGACTGATGCTGAAGCCACCATACCCATACAGTAAGCAGGGTGATGTCCTGAAATAAGACACTAATGTTGCCTAAATATCAAGGTAGCTTTTCAGGATATGTATAATATTCTAGATATTCACAATTTACAATTTCACACTCACCCATCAGGTACAAAATCTTTTCTCATCATGATGAACATGGGGACCATAGTTCCATCTTTGCTTGGGTAGAAGACCTATATGATATGATTATGATGTAAACCTATCGTTATTTTACAAACACTCATTATACAGATTTTTGAAAATTCTTGAAGCAAATCTTGCAATATTAAAAATCACCTGCTCCAGCTTGTAGTCCTCTGTTTTGAAATTATTAACTTGTGGTTCAATGAGAACTTCCTTGTTGAGGTTTGGACTAGCCAGGTCTACATGATAGATTGTTCCGGGATGAATCTGAGAGGAAAACTTGTAAATCAGCTCAGTGTGTTTGATATCTCCACTAAACCCTGTTACACTACCAATGTCTAGCTCAAAATTGTGAATGATCTCACCAGTTGCTAGTTTTCGCAGCTGCATAGTATTCCTAACATCTTTCATGTAACAAGTGACCAGCTTGTCCAAAGCAACACCAGTTGCCCACTCAAGAACATCTTTCTCATGCTCAGCAATAAGGTCTTCCCATGCAGCCTCATTGGGATTATTCAGATCAATGCAGACAAGCCTGTAGTTCTTAGCATTCTTGTTAGTGTGAATTATGACCTTGGGACCAATATTTGCAACATACTCATAGTCCGCCTCATACACTTCAGGAACCATTGGCGTCAAATTAAACTTCTTGGTTATTCCATCCTTAGCTTGTTCTTCCAGATCACAGTAGTAAAGAAGATTGTATTTACAATCCTGAGATGTGGTCACAAAAAGGTATTTACCACAGTCACTAATACTGGCACTTAACATCCATTTGGGATTATCTGGGAACTCACAGCAAAGCACATCCTGATCCTGGCTGGTTCCGACAAGATGGTAGTAAAGTTTCATGTTCTCTAGGCTTCCAGTATCTTTTCCAGTTACTCCGGATGGATCATGGTGAGGATAGCAGGAGTAGAATACACCCTTGTTATCATGAGTCCAAGCTATGGAAGAAAACTTGATTTTCTCAAGAGTTTCAGGGAAATCTTCTCCAGATTCAATCTTCTTGAACTTCATAGAAGTCCAGTCAGAGCCTGACTGACTGAGTCCATAGGCAAGGATAGACCCATCATCACTCCACTTGGTGCTCTTCAGGCTTATCGTACCATCTTCAGATAGGGTATTAGGGTCAAGAAGCACCCTTGGCTCACCTTTCAATGAGTCTTGTACATAAATCACACTTTGGTTCTGTAGACCAGAGTTCTTAGTGAAGAAGTACTTGTTCCCCTTCTTGTGAGGACATCCATACTTAGGGAAATTCCACAGGTCAGTCAATTCTTTCTTAATGGTCTCACGTAGATCTAAACAAAAATATTCATCAAATATCCCATAAATTCTTAACAAAATCTCCAAGTAACTAATTACCACAAGATCCCAGGTAGGCCTGAGACACTTTGTTCTGTGCATCAACAAAAGCTTTGGTCTCGTCGGAATCAGGGTTTTCAAGAAACCTGTAGGGGTCAGCAACCTTAACAGTACTTAAATTAGAGGAACTTCGCTAATTTTAATAAGGTGTAATGATAGATAAAGTGACTGCGATAAAATTTTTTCAAAGGGGGGTCTGGACTCTGGAGCTACCATTCTGGGGTTGAACCAACCAATCATTCTTTTGTCAAAATTAAAATGCATGTTTTTAAAAATATTTGTCAATATTGTGAATGCCTTCTGCTTGAATCTGAATCTCCATATTTCTGCAAATTCAACCCCAGCTTGATGAAGCAAAATGTTGCAGATCCAGCTAATTATCAGAAGCACAATTCTAGATATTCCAAGTGAAAATCTTTTCTAAATCACCACCTTGGTCCCATTGTAGTCTTCAACTACAGTCTTGTCTTTTTGGGTCGGAGGATAAACCAATTTCATTTTGTCTAAAAAATCAATAAAAAATTGTGCATTCCCATTATGAAAATTATCACAAAAATTGTTCTAAAGTGGATTACAAATGATTCATTTTGATAGATTTGTGGGTTTCATGGACTAATTTTCTCATCTTTTCAGAAACTCTCAACAACCATCAAAGAACACATTTGTAAAGAATAAAAAATAAACTTGAACAAAATTCTTTAACAGGTTGTAAATCCAAATCACATTTATACAGTTTTCATAGAGTTTTACATAAAGTCATCAGAATCACTTCCTCCATCTTTGTTACTCTTCATTTTTTCCTCCTAGTACAAACATTTTGACATAACTATTCTATAAACCAAACAAACAGTCAGAAATACACTTGGTTCATTATTTTTGTTTGAGATAAAACATGTTAGTTTTCTGTGATATTTCCAACAAATAAACAAAGAGTTTGTCGAGAACTTCACAAGAGAAAATAAGAAAAAATCTTTTTAAAAGATATCTTGCTTATTTTATCTGTCAAGTATCATTATTATGATCAAAAATCATCCCTGCATTCAATAACAAGGGGTCCTTTATAACCCAGGTAAAATAAATATTAACTGTTTTTTTTACTTTGTCAGACAACACTTAGCATTTATAGATTTGATTTTTCACAAAAAAAAAATAAATAAAAAAGCTAAAATTTGAAAAACTATTAGTTGAAAATGTTTCCTTCATAAGGTTGGAGTAACTTCTCAGTTCTGCTTCTTCTTTTCTTTTCTTTTCCTCCTCCTTTATAACAGAATTATTAGAAAATCATAAGAATAACCTTAACCTCCTCCTTTTCCTCCTCCTTTATAACAGAATTATTAGAAAATCATAAGAATAACCTTAACCTCCTCCTTTTCCTCCTCCTTTATAACAGAATTATTAGAAAATCATAAGAATAACCTTAACCTCCTCCTTTTCCTCCTCCTTTATAACAGAATTATTAGAAAATCATAAGAATAACCTTAACCTCCTCCTTTTCCTCCTCCTTTATAACAGAATTATTAGAAAATCATAAGAATAACTTTAACCTCCTCCTTTTCCTCCTCCTTTATAACAGAATTATTAGAAGATCATAAGAATAACCTTAACCTCCTCAGTAATATAGGAGGAATATTTAAACATGCTCATTATTTAGCTTTACCCAGCAAGCAGGACAATGAAAAGGCACTGGTATTTACTATTTTTATATATGAACAATCTAGTTTAATTAAGTTTTACATTTACCTTTTTCTGTTCCTCAATTTTCTTCATCTTCTTCTTTTTATCCTCCCTCTCTTCTTTATCTCGTTGTTCTCTTTCACCCCTTTAAACCAAAAGACTTTTGAATTACATTTTTAACCCTTTCGCTGCAAGAGTCCATTATTGGCTTCATCCTTGAAAGCCGAGAGATTTTTCATAAAAAGTAAGAAAAATTCTGAAAACCTTATAAAAAAATGACCAAAAAATAAAAAAATGTTTTTTTTCTTCCAAATCAAGTTAATAAAACAAATATGAAATAAAATTTTAATATTTTTGAAAACAAAAGATGCTATAAATGTCCTGCAATATTGGTATTCCAGTATTAAAGGAAAAAAAGCCAATTCTGGAGGTCCTGGTTTTAACGACACAACATTGCAGATCTTACAGTTCCCTGGTTGCTTTCTTTAATCACAACAAGTGCAAACATTTTTTTCTTTATACAAATAAAAACAAGGGATAATTTTCAGAGAAATTATCAAGAATTTCTTGAAACTAAGTGAAAGTTAACAAAAAACTATCTGTACTTAGTATTTGGGACAAGGAACACTGAAAATTTCTCAGAACTAAGTCTCAATTTATTCCCAATGAGTATCTGTTCTTAATGACCACAGGGGTCTCAAGAATTTCTCAGGACCCAACTTTAAGAATCGTTTCTCCGGAAATTCCCAAAGAAATTTACCAAACTGTGCATTGTTACCAAATCAAGACTTTGGAGAATTTCACCACTTTTGTTTCCTTGGAAGTGGATGTGAATACCCTAGCAGCTTTATACCTGAAATCCACTTCTTTCTCCACTTTAGTTTTGTTTAATCTATTGATAATATTCGTATCTTTCTTCGGCAGTCTAACATGAAACAAAAATTTAATTTTATCTCAGCCTTTTTAAATATTTCAAATATCTTAGGTAATAAAACAAGTTAATTTAATAATTTTTGGAAATTTTATAATCTTTATCCTGCCTGATTTTTCGGACTTCTTTTTGTTTGTGGAATCCGATCTGGCCAACCTTCAATCAGATATTTTAATTTTTCTATTCAGAGCTGAAAACTTTAGAATGGTGCATATCGAGATTAATGCTTGATCCTCTCTTTTTCTTAATATAAAGACTAACTTAATCTTGTACTTGTATCCTGAAAAGTGTATAAAATTCAACCTAACAGAGTCGTGTTTAAGAAGCCTGGAAATTTTAAATTTAACGCGCCATTAGATATTTATATACGGAAACGAAAGGGAATCTCTAATTTAACAACCGGGTTTTGATTTTTCTCTATTATATCCAAGAAAGAACGGTTTAAGAAAAAACCATGAGTGTGTCCATCAAGTAATTGGGATTTAGGATATCTTATTCTAAAGTTTTCAGCTCAGATTCTATTTTTTAACAGGGTGTCAAAAAAAAGGGTGATTGGCGTTTTGGGACCATTCTATGCATTTTTTAAACTTTAATAATTTAATTCAATAAAGGGTTGTGGGCACAAGCTCACACATACAAAACAAAAACGATATATCAGTAAGCCTGTTTCCAGTTCCAAGATTGATATTAAAGATGTATATCCCATCATTTTGTGTTGGGCCGTTGTCTTTCTATGCATTTAAAAGCTATAAAAGTGTCAAATTTGAGTCCCAGTGAATAGATTAAAATTCTGAAGGGGATTTTGTTTCATTTAAAGTCTTGTTGGACGTTGGTGTTATAAAAAGGGTCAATATCAAAATTGCGGATGTTCTCAATTGTAAGCAACCAATGACCTGTTTTTGATACAAACTCTATATATGTAATACTAGAACAAAGGAATATACTATATATATAAAATATATATAAGAATATACTATATATATATAATATATATAAGAATATACTGAATATAGAAATAATTAAAATCTTCATGAAGAAGTTTTTAAATCGTTTGAGAAAACTCTGTTTATAGAGATTAAGTGATCATGATATAAGTTTTTATACATTGGTATAGGGGGGGTGGGGAGTCGAGGGGGAGTAATCAACAATCATATTTTATAAGTTTTGGCAGATTTTACCTCCATTGACTCAGTTTTATGAAGGTTTTCCCACATAGTGTAAACTACATCCACATCATTCATCTGAACAATCAATCAATCAATTGATCCCAGGCTACGAGATACAGACTGCCGACGAGATTAAGCAAAAATGATAAATAAAGATAAAGAGACATGGGTGTCGTTCTGTACTTTGTTGTGTGTTGTGTACACAACTTTATTTTTAGAGGGGGATCAAATTATTTGGGAAAATAGTGGAAAATGTTCTGCTAATTTTTCAGTGGTCAAGGGGTCGTGTACACATTTTATTTCTTCAAACAAACCTAATTTTCTTTTTAGGAATCTGAAATATCAAACGTTTACAATCATTTAATAAATATTTTTAAAACTGTTTCTAATGATCTCTGACTAACCTTACAACCCTCTATACTGTTAGCTTTCACAAGTTGAGCCGCATCTTCTATTAAAGTCTAAAAAGAAACAAAAAAAATTAATCCTGAGATTTAGAAGAAAATCTAAATAAAGGAACTATAGACGTAATTAAGGTGACCCTAACTTTAAAGCGGTTTGCAATGTTTTCCTTTAAACTTTCGTCTGGACAAAAAAGATATCAATGCGTTGCTATCTATAAAATTGATAATTTTTAATCGAGGTTTCTCTGAAAAGGTGATATGCAGATATATGAAGCAGACAAAGGAAGAAAAATTCAATCTAGAACCATCGAAATCTTCCACGTTATTGCTTAGATAAAGGTTTAAATGACATGCTTCTCTTTAAATAAACGTTTCAATGACTTGCTCCTCTTTAAAAAAAGCGTTTAAAAAACATGCCCCTTTAAAAAAAAACGTTTAAAAAACATGCCCCTCTTAAAAAAAACGATTAAATGGCATGCCCTCTTTAAAAAAACGTTTAAATGACTTGCTCCTTTTTAAAAAACGTTTAATTAACATGTCCCTCTTAAAAAACGTTTAAATGACATGCCCTCTTTAAAAAACGTTTAAATGACATGCTCCTCTTTAAATAGACGTTTAAATCACATGCTCCTCTTTGAATAAACGTTTAAATGACATGCTCCACTTTAAATAAACGTTTAAATGACATGCTCCTCTTTCATAAACGTTTAAATGACATGCTCCTCTTTAAATAAACGTTTAAATGACATGCTCCTCTTTAAATAAACGTTTGAATACCATGCCCTTCTTTAGGTAAAGGATCCTTAAAAAACAACGATCATTTACTTTTGTTTGATTATTCACCTGCGGAACGGAATCCAATGATTCTCCCGGATTTAAACGAAGATAGACGTGAGCAGAAGACACCTATAAAATACAAAATCTGGGATTTTTCTTGATGTCTAATTTCTATATCTTAATTTAGGAAATAAACGAGTTTTCGGTAAAAATAGACAATTTATCATTGTCCATTAAGTCTTAAAAGGTGTTTAACATTTTTAATTAAATATTAAGTTTAAATTTTTAAATATTTACGAATAGATACCTTGTCAACGTGAAACCAAACATCTTCAGGCCAACCCCATTTAATCAAGTGCTAAAACAGAATTTAATCAAGTGCTAAAACAGAATTTAATCAAGTGCTGAAACAGAATATAATCAAGTGCTAAAACAGAATTTAATCAAGTGCTGAAACAGAATTTAATCAAGTGCTGAAACTAAAATTTAATTAATGCTGTATTAAAAATTTAATTTATATTGATTTTAGTCCCCATTGAAGTAAAGGATTTTTTTTCAGTAAAATATTTTATCACATAAAAATCAAGTTTATATATTACCGTCATACTAATATTCTCAACTCCCAGGGAGATATGAGATTCGGTTTTAGTTCAATTATAGATATTAGATGGCCAAAAGATGAATATCATTTCATATCCTCTTCGGGTTTAGTCTGATTACATTGTGTGAATTTATGTATGTTATGACAGAATTTCCCTTGAATCAAAAAATTTTCCCATAAGTGGCAAAGGAATTAAGTTTTTGTCACAAACTTAAATTTTCTAATGCTTATATCTTGGCAACCTAATGGTGTAAACCTTTTATATTTCAAACTTAAGATCACTTGAACTAACACAATTCATAGTTTGAAATATCCAAGGTCTACGACATTGGGTTCTAAAGATAAAGGGATAAAAAAATCAGAGTTTGTGACAAAGAATCAATTCCTTTTCTCCGTCAAGTGAAGGTTCGAAAAAAAGCAAGATTTCTATTCTCATCCAGATTGGCAGATTTTTTCACAAAATTATCGTGTTTATCCTACAAATTGGAAAATTTCACCCTAAATGACTTTTCCCAAAAATTGACAATTTATCCTCTTAATTAACAATGAGTGGTTTCCTGCAAATGAGTAAGTGTCTTCTCAAAATTAACTGATCAGTTTTTTCAACACAAATTGATCGAGGTAGAGATGAGCCTCGTTATAACCCCTTTTATAAATATTTAGGGTTTTAAAACTTTCACGAGACTCAACTAAATTCACATCGTAAGATTGTAATTTCTAAGGTTTGCTATTCGTTCTGACAGCAGCTAAAGGCCTGAACATATTTTTTTAATCGTTATTTATCGAACGATAGATATTGCTTCCTTGAGGCGTGTATCTTCGGTCAAGAGTCAAAATTTTACACAATTTCAGAAAAGAAAACTGCATGAAAATTTTAATTACGTCAGACTTTGAAGATTTTTGTGAAACTTAAAATCCTCGAATATCTAAATTCTAAATACACGGATGGTAACGATGCCCGACTCTATTGCTGAGGGGAGAACACTACCCAGACTTTACCTCATTCTCGAATTTATCCATCCCCATGAAGAGAGTGACTGGCGGGTCCACAGCAGTACTCGTGAAGTAGAAAACCATTTTTCTGAAAAATATCAAATTCCATTTTTCCTTTATTCGATGAGCTCAGTTCCTCTCTTTGTTTATCCGTAAAATAACTGAAAAACTTTGTCTTGGACGCTAACTTTTCTTTCTCTCTCTACTCAATTGGGTAAACTAAACCAGAAAAGGCATTTAAATGAAGAAAAAGAATTTACAAATTCTAAAATGGTTGCAAATGATGAATCCCACAAAATTTTAGGTGGGGGAGGCGAAAGCTCCCCACTGAAGTAGTAAAGATTAAAAATACTACCATTTGTACCAATAAATTTAAAAACTTAAAAATATCAAATATATTAGATTTTAAGATTGTTACTACAGGTAATAACAGAAATGACGGATTTCTAGGAGAAAAAAGGAGGAGGAAATAGTTGATTTTCACCAAATAATATCAATATCTTAAAAATACATATCTAATAGTTATTGTCTGTATTTCATTAATTACTTATACAGGATTGAATACATTACTTTTATGTACAATTGTACATAGATAACTTGTCGTACAATTGTACATAGATTACAGGATTGGATAAATACTTGTAGTATGTTACATAATTAAATACATTGTCTTAAATCAAATACAAATATAATAACTAAATCAGTTAAAAGGATTCTTCACCTATTTCATAATACCTTAATATTTGGTACAAGGACACAACTATTCCGATCAGAGCTGCGAACTCTTGTTTTGTGGATATCAAGATCAATGCTTAGTCTCGATCTTTTGTTAATCCACGAATTAATTCAATCTTGATTCGATATCCCGAATGGTAATCGTACCCTGAAAGAACGACTGGATTAAAATGAAGAGATTAAGTTTTGATCCTCACATAAGAAGTGCTCTAAGTGAATATCGAGATCTGTTGATCGGGAAAATGAGTTTCCAACACAGAAGTTTCCAGCTCATGCTAACTTAACGTTTAGAAAAGTTCATGATCGTCAGAATAGTCAAAAACTTTCCGTAAAAAGTAAGAAATTATGTGTATTTATGAATAAGGCTAACAATCCCTTAAAGATCAGCATAAGAATTAATCAGAAAGAAAAAATGCAGTTTAATTGCAAACTTTTATAAATTATAAATACAATCAACTTAACCTAAAGTTTATAAATATCGTATGCATTGGATGTGGAGGGAAAAAACAAAAATCAGAGTAAACCAAGAAAGATGTCGGAAACCTGAGATCAAAACTTATGAATGATAAAGCGTTCATCTCGATCTGAACTGGATATTGACACTAAAATCTTTTGATCTCAAGTACTTAATCCGTGAAAAACAGTTGATTGGTATTTTCGTGACAAGACCAAGATATTTCATGGTATCTGTGATAAAAAAACATAGTTTTAGTGGCTCAGGTTTCAAAAACATAATTTCTAGGACACCCTGTGAAATTTGTTTACAGACATAAGAAATGAATCGAAATCTATTATTTCACCAAACCGTAAATCAAATTTTAGCTTGATCGACTAGACTGTAAAGCTTAATACACACAGGATAAGTTAAAAAATATCAAAATTTTCGCGTTTTCGGAAGAAGACGATCTATCAAATGTTGTATAAATATATAAATCATTGTTGCGTGCAAGGTTTCATTTTCAGAGCCTGAAGTGGGANAAATAAATTAAAGATGGTAATCTTAAGCATTACAAAAAGTGACGACGGAAAAGTTCCCAAAAGAGGAGTTTACAGGAGGCGAATAGAAAAGTTTAGTAAGTTAATGCCTAACTAACACTAACAGATAGGAGAATATGAGCAGTTGGCAGTTTTTTAGACAAGAAAATTTCCACGGCCATTAGAGAAAATAAACAAGATGGAGAAATATCAACAATCTTTTTTTTTATTTGTTAAGGTAAATTTTGTAGGCCTTACTACGGGGTTACTGTACTCTAGTGGCATAAGCGGCTCCGATATGATCGCCGATTTTTGATTTCCTAACCGGCCGCTGATTTCTTAAACCGATTCGGTTGCGGATGTGGATAACTTTCCGGCTTTGATGACTGTCTTGAACTGCTCCGGGATCGGCTGCTCGACAAAATCGTCTCCCTGAAAATATTAAAATATCACATGATGGCAGTAAAGCTACAGGTAGAGGAGAAAACTTTTAAATAAGTCAAATTAAAGGGTTATATTTGTAAACTCACAGCCACGAACAGATAATAATTTGGCATTAAATGTAAAGTTTGATATAAGCTTTGTTGAAAATAAACATGTTTTGAAACTAATATCAAACAAACAAGACTGATAAAGTTTTAGATGTTATTATTTTTATTATTATGTAGTTTATCTATACATGAAGTAGCCATTTCTGTTTGTTTGCATGTCCGATCAAAACTCATGTACCCCTGGACCGATTTTTCTCAAGTTTTGATTGGAGAATTTAGGAGAACCACGGGAAGGTTCTTAACTTAGTTTAGAGAATCTAAGTTGAGTTTTTTAGGGAAAAATTGCTAAAATCATAATTTAAGACCAAGCGCGGGTAAACGGCGGCAGTAACTACGAGTAACCTGGGCAACGCTGGGTTCCCATGCTACTACTATATATAGTTTCCACGAGATTTACATTAATATGAGAAAAGAGATCTGACCATCCCCCCCGGCCCTTCCCCCCCCCCCTCTCTCTCTTCCGAAAATCCAGGCTGCCAAGATAATTGGATAGAAAAATATTAACCTGTGGAATCATGACGTTCATTTCACTGGATTTTGCAGAGACTATTTCAGCATTCAGCGAATCCTGATTTTAATCAATTAAAAATAAATGATAAATTAATAATTTTTAAAAAAATTTTAAGAGTGAAGCCCATATTATTTTTTAAAATTAGGAAATATCAGCAAAAAAACGGCTCACTTAAAAAACGTTAGTTTTAATATTTATTAATTGATTGATTGATCAATGAATCAAATTGATTTGATTTATTTATGGATTGATTTGATTGATTTAATTGATTTGATTGAATTGATTGAATAGATTGAATAGATTGAATAGATTAAATTGATTGATTTGATTGATTTAATTGATTTGATTCAATTGATTGAATAGATTGAATAGATTGAATAGATTGAATAGATTGAATTGATTGATTGATTTCCTTGCTAAGATACATCTGACAACCGTCTGTCTTGTCAACAGATATAGTTGGAACAGAACCGGTTACCTGAAATAATAACAATGACAATAGTGGTTAAAAAAACATTAACAAAAATGACCAGAGCTGGGAAATTTTGAGTTGTGGATATCGTAATCAATGCTTAATCTCCTCTTTTTGTCAATTTTCAGATTAATTCAATCTCATTTAAAGTGTATATAACTTAACCAATCGAGTGGCGTTTGGAGAAACAAGAACCAATCAGAGAAGTCGGAAAATTAAAAATTTTGCGCGCCCAATTATGAAAGAAAAAGAGTGGTTTAAGAAGAAAATTAAAAATGTTCACATAGGATATTCAGATTAAGCGACCGGGATCAAAGGTATCCAATTCCAAAGTGTTCAGCTCAGGCTAGTTTCCTTGTCGTTAAAGATTGTTTTGAGACTTCTTAGTATACTAATAACATGTACTAAGTTACTAGGAAAAAAATAAACAGTTCAGCCTGAAAAGCACAGCGTTTGTTTACATTCATTCCAGACACTGCGGTACACTTTCGTAAACAAAGCTATGGTAATTATTTTATTATCTTAAAATTCCCCCCCACCTGCATGAATACAATACTCCTCCACTTTCAGAACGTCCCTTACCTGCATCTGTACAGATTGACAGTTGATGAACTCACAGCTAGAAACTACGCTGTCAAAAACAACAGCAGTCTTCTTACATGAGTCCAAGATGATGTTGTTGCACTTTCCACTGAAATACAAAATTTATTTTTGATTAATTGACGACAAAAAATTTCGTTTTTCGGTGCCTTGTAATTAATATTACTAGAGAAAAGTAAAATAAATAGAGTCCTCAGCAAAATTATTCATTATTCTATACTTTTTTTTCAGACAAATCATCTATTTTCATCTTAGTGACCCTTCATTACCATTTTTATTAAATGGGTAATCTTCTTCTAGTCTCTAAAACTCTTTCTACAGACTGAACTCCGTTAAAGGTTTTTCTTCTTTACAAATCCAACTTTTTTGAGCTGAACAATGTTTTAACTCTTTTTATTAATCGCGTCAAAAAAAATTTTGAACAAATGTCATACCCGATTGCCTACCGTTCCATAAAACTTAACTAAATAAAAGTCATTTTTACAGAGATCGCATGTGCTGAGCAAATGATTTAAAAGGTACTGCTGTGAATCAGACAAGTGACTCCTTAATGAAAGGGTTTCTAAATCGAGAATCCCATTGTGATAAAGACAACGATGAAAAAAAACTCAACTTTAATAAGTCGACAATTCCTTTAATAACTTACCTGACACAGGCACGTCGTTGGTTCCTTTAAAAACATATACCTGACTTTAATAGTTGATCCTTCACACTTGAACACGTACACGGACTGATTGGTCTCAGTGTCTTCAATAGACAGATTTGGGTTTCCCTAAATAAATTAATAAATTAAAAATACAAATTAATAAATAAGTCAATAGATAAATCAATCAATAGATAAGTCAATCAATTGATAAATCAATCAATAAATAGATCAATAAATAGATCAATCAATAAATAGATCAATCAATAAATAGATAAGTCAATCAATTGATAAGTCAATCAATTGATAAGTCAATCAATTGATAAGTCAATCAATTGATAAGTCAATCAATTGATAAGTCAATCAATTGAAAAGTCAATCAATTGATATGTCAATCAATTGATAAGTCAATCAATTGATAAATCAATTTCATTGATAAATCATTCAATTGATAAATCAATCAATTAATAAATCAATCACTTGATAAATCAATCAATTGATAAATCAATCAATTGATAAATCAATCAATTGATAAATCAATCAATTGATAAATCAATCAATTGATAAATCAATCAAATAATAAATTAATCAATTAATAAAACAATCAATAAATGAATAAATCAATTATTAAATCAATCAATTAATAAATCAATATATCAACAATCAATCAATAAGTTGGTAAATCAAATCATAAACCTAAAAGCGAATCTTTGAACAAAGGGGAGGTACAATTCGACACTTTGTGACACCAAATTTTGAACAGGCTGCATTTGATCAAGAATTCCAAAAGTAGTTCAAAAATAAAGACAATATTGTAGAACTAGCTTTCATTGAAATAAATGTTAAAACTAAAATGGTTTACCTTGAAATACTCTACAATCCACTTCTTGCCGTCAAGTTCAAGTTTCGGCGGCTTGTTACTAACAGGTATCCCAAAGGTTTTTGTCGGCACAGCCGGTTTATCCTTAAAAACTTAAATTGAAACAATTTTTTTTTAATGTTTTTTGCAAGAATAATCATTGTAAATAATGGAAGCATGTTTAGATTACTAGGTTAAATGATAAACCACATTCTTATCCAATTTTTACCAAGAAAAATACCGGAGCTAAAATCTTTTTAAAGGACGGGAAATCTTTTTATCGCTAAGCTTCCTCGGCTTGCAAATTTTCCATCTCAAGGATCAATTCTTATTTTTTACGTCATCTATCAAAACTTTAAACTGGATAAAGTAGTTTTCATGAAAATTTCTAAATTGTGCAAAATCTTTAAATGTTAATTAAGATTTAATACCTTAGAAGGAACAACCCCTGTGCTACGCAGTGTTGGATTTTTATGAGTCTTTTGATCGTCAGAAACCTTCTTCAGTCCCTTGGTGATGTCAGCACCTTTATTCAGACTTGACATTAGGTCACCACGGGCAGCTTTAGCAGGGTCAACCTCGAAATCAATATCCATGGTTCCTAAACAATTTAAGATATTGAATAGGTTCAAGGGACTGTTGTTGATATTTAAAAAATAAAAAGAGGAGCATGCCCGATTCACAAAACTTTATCTGATCAATAATGTAAAAGATAAAATCTTTTTTCCAGTGTTTAATGATAAAGAAATACATGGGTATCTTATCTAAGGGTACCTTTTTTTTAAATAGAGAATCACTTGCAATTACTCCCACAGACCCTTTAAGGGTCGAATCTTGAGCTTGCAAAAAGTAACACAAAGAAAGGGGGCAATAATACAACTAGAATAGAAATATAAGATAGGAGGGCGTCAAATGTGTGAGGGAGAGGGAGGTGGCTTGACCCAGGTAGAGAAGAGAAGGAGTAGTTAGTGGCTTACCTGGAGGTGGTGGAGGAGGGGGTAGGGGAGGTCCTGAAGGAGCAGAGAAAGCTCCAGGAGCAGGAGCAGCGCTGCTTCCTGCAGGGTTCCAGAGCAGCCCCGTGGTGTGATACTTCTTTACGTAGCTCTAGAAAAAACTATTTACAGCCCCTTAAATTCTTACCGCCTGTTTCACGTTTTAAAGGAAAATATTTTAAAAAGCAAAAAATGGTCATAAGGATTTTTTGATCCATTACTTGCATTTTATTGATTTCATCGCTAAAATTCCGTTTATAACAATCCGTTCTTTACCCCCCTCCCCCACCCACTCCTCACCCACCCACCCACAGTTTTAGAAGAAAAAGGAAAAATTAGGCAATTCTAATAGGTCTTTTTGGTTCAAACTTATGTTTGCAGATGTAATGACCAAAACATCTTTCTTATCTTCAACTTGGGATTATTTGGGAAAACTCATTTGGTTAATTTTCCTGTAGATGTAGTTTTACTTACCTGAAGTTCATTCAAGGTCTGAACCCATGATTTAACCCAGTCCACGTGATCTGCAGACTTCTCCTTCCAATCCTAGCAGTCCAGACAAATCCAATATGGGATACTGATTCAACCTTTGGTGCCAACAGAGTTCCCGACAATAAACTGGTTATTTACTGTATAAGAGCTTTCTTTTCTACCTTAAGAAACGATGATTAGTAAGGCTTTTATTGACTGTAGCTGACTAATAATGAACTAGCTTGGGAACCCATCGCTGCCTAGGTTACCAGAAGTTACCCCATCGTTTACCCGCACTTGAACGATTTTACCGGTTCGCTATTAAAGTCGACCCACTCAAATTAGAATCTCAAAGCCAAGCTAAGAAAACTTACTTGGGTCTCCCGAGTTCCGCGATCAAAATTTGAGGCAAATCGGTCAAGGGGTTCCTAAATTAGATCGAAAAACAAAGATACAGACAGACGAACAGAGATTACAATTTTATAAATAAGTAGATAAAGATATTTTATGGGTCTTAAACGACCAAATTGTCACTAAGCTCAGTTGGAAATATATTCAATGCGTAAACCATGTGCACTGTATTTATTTTGACAAATCATTACCCCTTCATCATTTTGAAAATAACTTTTCCCATAGAAGTTGGGTTTATTTATGAAGAACGCAAAATTGTTAAGTGGAAACATATTAATATTTGTAGTCTAAACTTTAATCATAATTTTAAACTAAAAATTTCTTTAAAAAGTGCTCAGGATTCATTTAATTTTGATGCGAATTCGGATCCTGGATCCGCACTGGAAAAAAATGTATCCGGATCCAGGTTAATTCTTCAAAATTTACCGAATTTTTAAATTTATTGTCTTATTTTTTTCGCTTATTTTTATGCTACAACTTTAAGAACCATTCAGAAATCAGGATTTTTATACTCTCTCTTTATTCAATAGTTCTTCGGGTTTTAAAATAAAAAAAATTTCAGTTTTTGGTAGATATTTTGCCCCTTGGATCCGGATCCGTGGATCCACATATTTTAGCGGATCCGGATCCAGGAAGCCAAAATTTTGAACTTTTTTCATATTCAATCACTCAGAGAAGTTGATTTGTTTTATCCTTTACTCTAAGAAAAATTTAATTAAAATTTCACCGACAATCTTTTAAGGATATTTGTGTAGATTTTCCCAGATTTTCTCAAATTATTTAATTGGATTATTTCCTTGAGAACTCTATTAGTGTAGAACTGTCCTGCATCATTCATCTCCTTCACATAGGGAGAAGGAGCAGGAGATACAGCTACCCAACCTTAAAGGGATAGTCTGCATTATTTTATTTCACCCTTTAAGGGACAGTCCGCGAATTTCAATTTCAACCTAAATGAGACGTAATTGCAAGTCACGTCATTTTTTTGAGGATTTATCTAAAGCTGGAGAGGAAGAGCGTATCCTCATACTGGGAGAGGAGGGGGCTTACCTAGTGCTGGGATGCTTTCTGATATAGCTGACAGATGATTGAAGAATTCTGATCTGCGGTTCTTCTCCCTGAACTCCTGGATCTCAGAGATCTTGTCGGAGATAGGCTTCAGGAGCAGCGGGAGATCCTGGTAAGTTTATACATCTTATCACTAATTCGGATGCTTTTGTCTTCAAATCATTAATTATCCACAAAAAAACTATTTTTCCCAAAATTAAGCGATCTATTCCCTAGTAAATTAAACGTAGCGTTCTCAGCATCTGGAGGAAATAATTATTTTAGAAAAGGGTGGGAATCACTTTTTTAAAGAAAACATAAACCCCTGAATAAAAATTACCTTATCAGAGGGCTTTTTAGATTTAGAAGCAGTATTAAGGAAGTTTCGCTCTGCAGTGAAAGCAGCTTGAGTTAGTCCAGCAATAGTTGCAACATCCCCTCCTAAAAATAATAAAATTGCAACATCTCGACCTCAAATCATAAAATGTCTTCATCCGCTGATCATAAACATAAAATTGCAATATCCTAACAGATAATTAATTGCTATATTCTATCCTTATAATAAAAAATTACAGGATCTCGGGTCCGTCCGAGTTATACGATTTTTAAGTTGTTACGTATTATTGTAGAGTTAGGTTAGGTTCAGATAATGTCAGGACCGGGCGCTGCGGCCACATGACCAAGTTTATCTATGTGTTGCATATGAGATCCATGTACAAATTGATAGGAGAGCGAGGGGGGGGGGGGCACAAACCGTATACTTGGAAATTACCAGGATCAACATCCTAATAATAAAACAAATGCATCTCTCTATCATTTCTTTACTATGATTAAAAAAACTAAACATCCTATTTAAATCAAAATAAAATTTACGGAACTGCGTCGATTCATCAATTAATGACAATATTAAACTGACAAATTGCTGAATAAATAACTTGATTTAATAATTCGATTTCGCCCAAAAAAAATCAAATCCTACCAATTTTCTTGCTTTTTTCGATGAAAGTTTTAAACTCGGCGGCCAAAATATCGTCAAATGCAGCAACAAACTGAGCCGCAGCCTCCTGCGACACAGGTGTCGACCCAGATGCGCCTTCTAGTCGAGCAGCGACAAGCTCTAGTCGTGCAACAAGGGAACTAAGTTCTTCAACACCCGGCATCTTCAAATCTAAGTAAAGAACAACATTTTTAATAAATAAGAAAAAAACGTACTCTCAACAAAGTTTACATTGATTGTTTACCTGCAAGTAAGTACAGATAATAATCAAATTATTGAGCTTTCTTAGGAAAAAGAGTTTTCAACTTTCATTGAATTTAATGATGAACATTGAACATTCTGAGCCAGCGGCGTGGGACATTATTAAAAGGTAAAATATATTTTTGTTTCTAAAACATAGGTTTCAAGTAAATATTCAAACAAGAAAACACTTCCTTAAAATAACAAACTTGCAACTTTTGAGGGAGTGTCCATGTATCAGAATGAATTCACTATCAAGTGTACTCTGTTCTAGTAGAATGACTAAGGATAAGGAAGGAGTAAGGAGGAGGCAGCAAGGGAGGAAGCTAGACAAACCGGTTTATGTACACAATGCCACTCACTCGGGGCGGGAGGTAATTTCGGGGAGAAGAAAATAAATATTTAACTTTTTATTAATATTTTCAAAAAAATTAGCTTTTAAAAAACGAAAAAAATTGTTTTAATTAATTTCTTCAAAATCACCCCGAAAAGTCTGCGCTTTAAAACTTTTTAAAAATTGACGTTTAAAAAACCGGCGAAATAATAATATTTATCAGCTGACGAAAAATGTTAGGATACATGAAAATTAAGATGAAGGAGATAAAAATACATTTTTTATCATTATTCTACAATTCTCACATATCGAAAGATTACATTTTTGATACATTAATTCAGGTAAGTTTAAACTTTTTGAATTAATTGCTAAAACTTTTAAATAAATCGAAAATAATTTTTTTTGTAAATAATTCAGCCAGCTTTTATGTTCGTTGATGCCTTCGCTTCCTTGCTCGGACCTTTCTTTGTTCTTCTAGTCACATTTCTCACTGTAAGTATGGATTAAAATGATTTTATGAATATTTAACAATTTTTCAGGAACTCAGCTTTGACTGGAATTACTAGTTTTTCGGGTCCGTCCCAGTATACGATTTTTGGACCCCCCGGCCCCCCCCCCCCCCCTCATATCAATTTTGTACATGACGACTATTTGTTAACAATATTTTAATATTTATTTTTTATTATTCTAGGGTTAGGTTAGGTTAGGTTAAGATGGTTTCTGGGCCAAGCGCAGCAGGTAGAACAGGCTAGGGGGACGAGCGCTGCGGCTAGGGGGCCGGGCGCTGCGNGTATCTATCTGTAAGAAGTGTATTGCTCCAAAGCCTCCAAGAACCCATCACTGTAGTGTGTGCAACAAATGCATTCTTAAGATGGATCATCATTGTCCCCCCCCATCCTATCAATTATTTACATGGATCTCGTATGTAATACATGGACGTAATTGGCAATGTGGCCGTGGCGCAACATATGTTACCCATGTTCAAAGTTGGACACGTGGCCGCGGTGCTCGGTTCCCTAGCCTGTCCGAAGCACTCAGGCCCCTAGCCTGGCCCAGTCGCAGGTTAAATGTTTTTAACTTCCCTCTGAAACTATACAAAATAATATTATTAATGTTAAGTTGAAAATCATTGTTTATGTACAAAATTTATAGGAGGGGTGGAGAGGGGGTTCAAAAAGCGTTCTCTATTGGACAGACCCTGAAATTTCTATTCTAAACTATTTCCCTGGCTAAACCAAGTTCCCAATTTAAAATTTAAGACAAACCAGTTCATGTGTTCTAATATCGGATATACAAAAAATATTATATTTAATATTTATAGGTAAATAGATAAATATATCTTGATTGGTAAACCAATTTTATCTTCCTCAGATTTCATAGGCTGTGTCAGTGTTTTGAATAGCTTAAAAAATAATGCTTAAAAATTACCAAATTCCGAGTATAAAATTCAAAATCCGGGGGGGGGGGGCAAAAAAAAAAAATTCCTCCCACCCTTCCCTGGAAAATATCGTAAGCTGCCCCTGCTATTATTCAATAAGAGTTCAGCTGAAAATATTTCAACATTTTGCTGCTTTTTGCCTAACTCGTTTTTATTTTTTAGGTCTCTGTAATATTTATAGCTTTTTGGATAGGGTTACCCTACTACATAGAACACAAACATTTTCTTCAGACTGCATGTAAGTTCTTTTGGGGAAATAAAGATACAATAATAACCCTCCAAATCAAACTTATGCAAAATGTGTTTTGGAGAATGGAATCTTGAAGACACTTTTTTTAATAATTTTGTTTTGGTAGGGAACATTAAACTTTAAATTACTCTCTACTTCTACTACCGTTTTTTAAATTTTGATTCATGATTTATTGTAACTTAAAATAATTATTGTAATTTCAAGGGGCCTTTCATCTTTTTATCTGTAAAGTTTATTGTCCGTCGCCAGATCTTTATTAACCCCCTTGCTATACTTTTTTAAAAATTTGAAAGTTTTTTATTTTCAATGAACCCCCTTTCTTAAAGCGAGAAAACCAACTACATATGTCTTCAACATTTTTATTAGATTACGGTTGAAGGGTACTGTTTGAAATTAGATTATTGTTGAAGGGTACTGTTTGAAATTAGATTACGGTTGAAGGGTACTGTTTGAAATTAGATTACGGTTGAAGGGTACTGTTTGAAATTAGATTACGGTTGAAGGGTACTGTTTGAAATGTAGAGTAACTTAAAATTACAACGACAAAGCAAGTACATTGTTTTTATAGGTTTGCTTGTTTTTGGGCACTATCTGATGATGAATATAATATTCAATTATTGGTAAGTAAGTAAAATTTCTCACCAGACTACAATGGTAACTTGCTTCTCCTACTACCCATACCTTTGAGGCTCATATTTTATTACTCTTAATTGGTTTAATTGGTGTATTTATGTTATTGTATCACTGGTGCAATAATTAAAACATCTCGATCTCCTGTCTATGTTGGCCATTCATCTAGTTTATTCTTGAAACTGTTCAGGTTCTTAGCATTTTTCACATCCACATACTAACACATCTCCTTCAATTATTTTAAGAAAGATACAGCTATTTTGTTAAAATTATCTTTAACACTTATTCATATAATAAAGCTCTTCGCTCATATATAAATATTTTTAAAATTTCTCGTGCAATGCCTGACACATAAGCTATCTCATTATATTTGCATGTTTTTAAATTTGTAAAGGGGGGGGGGGCTCACTTTCATTTGTAGCCTTCTGCCTTTTCTCCCTGATTAGACTCTTTCCCTAACATATTGAGGAATGAAAACGATTAACAAAAAGGGAGGGAGTATTTTAATAAAATATATGCCCACTAGGCTATCAGGGCGCTTCGTGTCCATCTTCTATTTCAAATGTAATTGATGCTCAATCAGTATTTTCTCTTCGACAAAACAATGAAAAAAAACTCAGATTTACAATTTTTTTTTTCGTTGATTTCCCAAAAATTTGGGAGACACATTTTTAAACTCTGTTCAGTGATCATCCATAAAAAATTTGGCCCGATCATTTCAGCCGTTTTGTCTTTTATTGGTTACAAACAAACACACAAACACCCAAACAAACAAAAAACAAACAGGCACGCAAAGTATACATATATAGATTGATGTTTTTTTCAGGCTGGCTCTTACTACCCAACCTGGAGTACCTCCAACAGATAAAATATTAACAGAGGTGATCAATTTTCTTTCGATAATTCCTGCAATTTCATTTACTTATTTATTTAATTAATAAGTTGTTTATTTTTAGTAAAAATTTAAAAAATGGGAAGCTTTTTGTAAGCTATTTATGTGGTAAACTTATGGTTATATCCTTGAAAATAATTTAAATTTTGCAAAATAAAACAGCCATATTGGTGCTATTATGAGCAAAAAAATATTTTTTTTAATAGGTTTAATATATTAATATTTACGATTTATCAATCTGTATGTATCTATTAGTAAGAAGGTTTAATATATTAATATCTAGGTTTATTTATCTTTATCTGTAAGAAGGTTTATTTTATTAATATTTAGGTTGTATCTTTCTGTAAAAAAGTTTAATATATTTTATCTAGGTTGCATCTATCTGTAAGAAGATTTAATATATTAATATATAGGTTGTATCTATCTGTATCTGTAAGAAGGATTAATATATTAATATCTAGGTTGCATCTATCTGTAAAAAGGTTTAATATATTAATATCTAGGTTGCATCTATCTGTAAGAAGGATTAATATATTAATATCTAGGTTGTATCTATCTGTAAGCAGTTTTAATATATTAATATCTAGGTTGTATCTATTAGTAAGAAGGTTTAATATATTAACATCTAGGTTGTATCTATCTGTAAGAAGGATTAATATATTAATATCTAGGTTGTATCTATCTGTAAGCAGGTTTAATATATTAATATCTAGGTTGTATCTATCTGTAAGCAGGTTTAATATATTAACATCTAGGTTGTATCTATCTGTAAGCAGGTTTCATATAATTATATCCAGGTTGTATCTATATGTAAGAAGGTTTAATATATTAATATCTAGGGTGTATCTATCTGTAAGAAGGTTTAATATATTAATATCTAGGTTGTATATATCTGTAAGCAGGTTTAGTATATTTATATCCAGGTTGTATCTATCTGTAAGAAGTTTTAATATTTTAATATCTAGGTTGTATCTATCTGTAAGCAGGTTTAATATATTAACATCTAGGTTGTATCTATCTGTAAAAAGGTTTAATATATTAATATCTAGGTTGTATCTATCTGTAAGAAGATTTAATATAGTAATATCTAGGTTGTATCTATCTGTAAGAAGTGTATTGCTCCAAAGCCTCCAAGAACCCATCACTGTAGTGTGTGCAACAAATNTGTCTTTCACCCCAACCTTTTTTTTCTTTCACCCCAACCTTTTTTTGTCTTTCACCCACACCCTTTCTTGTCTTTCACCCACACCCTTTCTTGTCTTTCACCTCAACTCTTTCTTTTCTTTCACCCCCCTTTCTTTTCTTTCCATGATTAGAACCCGATTTTCCCTTATTATATGTGCTTGGTACAAGTTCACCCATGGAATGCTTGTTTACTTTGTCCAGGATTTTATAATTTTCAAGTATCTGTTTTCTTAAAACTCCCTGCTATTCCCGCTTTAACGGTGCTTCCCATGCCTGCCGGCGGTCTGGGGGGTTCATAACGGGACCTCTTTTTCAGATTTCTTTTCTAATAGTTCTAACAACTACAAATCTAAAATCTGAAGTGATATTGCATCATTAATCTAAAATCTGTAGTGATATTGCATCATTAATCTAAAATCTGTAGTGATATTGCATCATTAATCTAAAATCTGAAGTGATATTGCATCATTAATCTAAAATCTGTAGTGATATTGCATCATTAATTGTAAATCTTGATATCTGCAAACACGGTTGTTAAAGTTATTGTTAACGTAGATATTTTAATAATTAATAATCTTCTCTTTTTAGGTTAAATAATTGTGTTGGACACTTCAACCACCGTTACTTCTTCTTGTACATGGTGTACATGGTGGTAGGATGTGCTTTTATTATGCTCTTTGGAGCAGAGATACTTGCAGACCAGTTCTTTTACAGGTTAGTACACTCACTGTACCCAGTACACTCACTTTTATAATCTTAATACACTTGTTTTGCCTAAATATATTTTTTGGTTTAAAAACATTTTAATCTATTATTCAAAAACGAAAAATTTTTTACAGGGCATAAGATTTCTATCATTCTGGGCCCAAGGGACATCTTTAACTCTATCCCTGTTGGGGTACTTGAAAACCAGGATACGCTGGGGTGGTGATCAATTTGACCCCCCCCCCCCCCTCTAAATCCTATTTTTGATGTCCAAATATGACAAATGATACATCACTGGAAAGCTCTTATGCTCTACTTCTAGAATATGCTTAAAAAACTGCAAATTTTCAAAAATTGGATTTGATTTGCAAAATTCAGTTGCATATTAAAAATGTTTTCAAAAAAATGTTCAAAAAATGAAAAATATACATTTTTGATAAGCCCTTGGGCATGCCATTTCAAATATGCAAAAAATTGCAACATATTAAATAACCTGATGGGTAATTAATAAAATCTAAAAATGTGCAAATTCCTTTTGACGGGTTGTGGGCAAATTTCATAGCACAACTTGTGCAATCCGTTTCCTTATGTCATTTCCTATGGCTTTCCAAAAAAAACTAAATATTATCAAAATCTGACTGAAAGTTGAATCACAATGATTCGTTAAATATGAGATTTAAAAAGTCGTCTTTACTTAGTCTTAAGGTATTATACAGTTTCTATGTTTAATTGTCTTCTAATAAAAATGAGTTAAACCCTTTATTTGATATCTTCACGAACATGCACACAATATATACACAAAATCCATCTTACACACCCTCATCACACATCAATAATTTAAAAAAGGTAGATTTGAGAAGGTTAAGACTTAGTCAAGATTAGATTAAGAATTAGATTCCAATCCTTATCCTCTCCTTATATCTTTTACCCTTTACACCCTCACCCTATCCTAATTTCTCCTTAGTTTATCCTCTCTTAATTCTTTATCCCTTGTTAATTCATCCTATCAAATATTTCCCATATTTTTCTCCTTCTATCCTAATTCTTCTCTCTTTGAATTTCTCCCATTCTTCCTTATTCCATTCTTCTTTAAAACTAGCATTTTTTATGGTTCAAAGCAAATATTAACAATAATTCAAATGATTTAACTTTATTGAGATTTATTTATTTTTTACTCTTCATGTTGCACAGGTGGATCCTTACATTAAAAATATGATTCAAATTAAAAGTGATATTTAGTGTTGTTAGAGTATTCATAAAACTGTCCGTCTACTCTACGCAGAGACGGAGAGATGCGCTCAGTCCGAGCATAGAATGAAACCAGCAAAAAAGTCAGAGAAAAGAAGGCAGTCTATAGTAACCCGCACACAGATGAAATAGTTGGCTATTACCTCGATCCCTAAGCCAAGCGTGCCCCAAATCTCCATTCTAGATTTTCAATAGATTATGATCAAAATAAAGATTTTAAATCTTCTTCACTCATATTAAATAGAGTTGCAAGATAGATCCAAAATTAATATTTCAAACAAATACAAGTGCCCGGGAATTTTAGATAGGCCTCCTCAACCCACTTAAAACTATAGACTCAAAAAGATATTATCGGGTTGGCTACACTAAATTTCCCCGGCACAAAGTAGGTCAAAACAAAGATTTAGGAAAAAGTAGTCATTCAAGCAGTGTGCCTGAGGACTCAGGCAGTTATTATAAAAGACCTAAAGGGAGGGCTATGGGTATTTAAGAAAAGTCAGAAAATTTGAACAGCCTCAGACCATCACTGTTTAAGTTATGTTTAAGCGAATAGGTTTAACCGGTCAACTAGGATTTGAACAGCCTCAGACCAGCACTGTTTAAGTTATGTTTAAGCGAATAGGTTTAACCGATCAACTAGGATTTGAACAGCCTCAGACCAGCACTGTTCGAGTTATGTTTAAGCGAATAGGTTTAACTGATCAACTAGGATTTGAACAGCCTCAGACCAGCACTGTTTAAGTTATGTTTAAGGGAATAGGTTTAACCGATCAACTAGGATTTGAACAGCCTCAGACCAGCACTGTTCGAGTTATGTTTAAGGGAATAGGTTTAACCGATCAACTAGGATTTGAACAGCCTCAGACCAGCACTGTTTAAGTTATGTTTAAGGGAATAGGTTTAACCGATCAACTAGGATTTGTTGGGATGATATGAGTATTTTTATGAAGGTGAAGATTAAAAAATGCTTATTGTTAAACAACTTGTACAAAGAAAGATGAAATTAAACTTTATTCTGTACTTGATATTGCTTGTTTTTGTTTAAAAAATTAAAGACCAATAAACCGGGTTTCCTGAAATTTAGTCAGAAACTCGCCGATATTGTTTGTTTAAAGTTGTAGTTCAATGAACCAGGCTTCTTGAAATTCAGCTGAAAGCGGATTAATATTGTTTGTTTAGGGTGGAAGACTTATGAACCGGGCTTCTTTAAATTCAGCCAGAAACTGGTTGATATTGTTTGTTTAAGGTGGGAGACTTATGAACCAGGCTTCTTGAAATTCAGCCGGAAACTAATCGGTACTGTTTGTTTAAGGTGGGAGACTTATGAACCAGGCTTATTGAAATTCAGCTAGTAATTGGTTGATTTTGTTTGTTTTGTAAAATCTAGTCTTAGACTTAAGAACAGGGCGATTTTAAGAACCCTTTTTAATTGAGATTTAGGACAGAAAATTAGACACAGAATTCATAGAATATAAATATTTACTCAGATCTGGTTCAATCTAAACAAATTACAAAATAGATAAATTTAGTTGATATAAATAACAAATAGATTTAACGTTATAGGATTAAGAAAACAAAATTACACACTTAAAACTGCATTATCTCAATGTTCTAAAGCCGAGCCTCTCTCCAATTGAACTGAGAATAATCCGGTGGACTTCACTCCTTCTTATAGGACCATATCCGGTGGACTTCGATCCTCTCCTAAGACCATATCCGGTGGACTTCGCTCCTTCTTATAGGACCATATCCGGTGGACTTCGATCCTCTCCTGGGACCATATCCTGGACTCATCTTCTTTGTTCCATGGTTACTTGGAGACTGATGATTTGCTGAGAGTACAGTTGTATTGTGTACATTTGGAGGTGTGACAGGCACCAACTGTACAGTGTACAAATTCCGTTTCCTCTTGGGGGGGGGGGTGTCAAGTTCTGTAGATCTAATCATTTATCTTAGATGGTGACAGAGGAGACTCTTAGATGATCCACATAGGTTTTACATGTTTAAGGAAGGAGACTTATGAACCGGGCTTCTTGAAATTTAGCAGGAAGACTAGCCGAACTTCTTGAAATTCAGCCGTAAACTCATTTATATTGTTTTTTTACTCTAATAAAATTGATAAGAAGAAGTTTTGTTAAGGTGGGAGACCAACGAATCGGGCTTCCTAAAATTTATTAGAAAATTCATTGGTATTTTTTTAAGGTGGGAAACTGATGAACCGGGCTTCCTGAAATTCAGCCGAAAAACTCTTGTTCTCTATGAATCCTTCTTTACTACGAGGGAATCTTTAGTTTATTTTATTTCTTGTAAACAGGTTAAAGTGAATTCAAATAAACTGTGAATTTTCTAATCGACAGGCTAGATGTTTTAGGAAAAGTAGAAAAAAAATTGTGCTTTATATCAATACAAGTTGATTGTCAAGGTACTGGGAAAAATATTTGCTTTATACCAATATCAAATTCCTAAAAATTTCCCATCGTCTTCCTATTCTCAGTTGTAAAGGTCTCACTGTAAAAAATAAAAAATTCTGGGATTCAGTTGTTTTTTCTGTCTGGGAGCTCTTTGTTTATGGCACGCCAGACTTATTCATAATGGACAGACGTCAATAGAGGTAAATGACTTGTTAAAGGGACTGTTAATGAATTTCCTTAGAGATTATGATTTAAGAAGACTTGTTTACCAGGAAATTAGTCAAAAGTTTACTTTTTATTATTTATTAATTATTTATTATTCTTGTTGTTTAAAACATTACTTTTGCTTTCATCCTTAATTCAAGAACATGTTCTTCGAAAGTCTTGGCCCCTAGCCGCAGTGCATACCCAGAATTTTATCATAATTTTTCATAATTTTTTTTAATTTAAACATAACTATTAAAATTAGAATGCGAGTTGTCTTTCTTAAGTAATGTTGAAGACTGTTTGAACTCTAATGATATCCCCTGAACACTAAACAGTCATAAAAATTACAGCATTGCCGTCTTTATTTTTAATCAATAAATTAAACAAAGGCGACTTTTATTCTGAACTAATGGGACTGTAAATATTATTTACCCTCCATCGAGGAGAGTGGAACTTCTGATTCACAATGGTTCCCATTAAAGCTTTGAATGATCAAGAATGAATGATAAATCCATGTGTTTTTGTTTCAATCGCGGATTTTCTGCAAAATTGTATCAATCAGAATTTGACATGTATCAAGTGCGAAAAGATACGTTATCTTCCACACTATTGATCGGATTATATTTTCAAGGCTACCAAAATGTGAACGTGCATATTCCTCTTTAAATAGGGGGTTATTCAAAATTACAATGTCAGTCCCTTTAAATATTTGCCCGTATTATAGGCACATATTAACACTGCTGAGACACGACGGTTGGCTGAGCTCGGCAGAGTTTATAAAAATCCATACAACTTCGGGCACACACATAATTGGTATTTATTCTTAGGTAAGGATATTATCTTAATATCGTCATGATTTATCATTCTTTCACGCAGTCATCCTCAAATTAAAAAGTGTCCACATTGGATATCGAGATGAAACGTTTAAAAAAATGAATACTCAATACATTATTCATCTGGAGTTATTTTTTAGATATTTCTAGTTACCTTATTAAGCCGTTAATACATGATTCATCTGGAGTTCTTTGTTTAGATATTTCTAGTTTCCTTATTAAGCCGTTCGTTAGTACATGATTAATTCATAAAATCACTTATTAAAGGATTAATTCGAGACAAGAGCTTTATAGAAATTAAATTGAGTACTTAGTACTCCATATCCTTGTTTTGAATTTTATTAAAATTTTGGTACAGAAATGTTTTTTTTGTATAGAAATTTCACCTTATTTCGGGGAATCATCAAAAATATATAATTTTGTTAATTTAAATTAAAAATATTTATATTATAAAACCCTGAAAATTTAACTTAAACCCCTGAATTCTAGGTTTAGTGAATGGACGAGGATGGTTAACTGTTCTTTTCCCTTCGGTCTACACTCCTCCTAGAGATGGGCTCAGTTGGGACTCGGTCCATTCCTGTAGTATAGACTGGACTTATGGTCCATTTAAGAAGTCCTCAGACTGAAGGGACTCGGTCAACATCGCTAGTTATGTTATATTCCAAAAAATTATTAAACGTTTTTCATTGATCTCCATTTGTCAAGCATTTAATTTATCCTTGTATAAACCTTCCAAACCAACCTTAAAGGAACTGCCATGTTGACGTAATTACCAGGGAATAAGAATAAAGGGAAGGTAAATGGCGCTGGTCTGGCATTTGAAAGCCATTCGCAATACTTTGAAGACGAGTTCGTTATTACACACGCACACTCTTTTGGTACAGACACATAACATGACTACAGTCAAGGAAATTGCAGAACAATGTCATCAATTATAAGTAAGCTTGAATAACGAATAGTTAATTGTTAACTTTAATCCAATTATATTCTATGCATGAAAATTTGGCTTATAGTGTTGACTTAAATATATAACTAATATATTACATGTATATTAAACTTATTTTTAAGTAAACAATCAACAATAAATAAATGTACTCTCCTAGACTGTACAAATACCGAAATTCTTATGTACTGTATATACCTACAGTACACGTCTTCGGTTCGTTATTACTTACACACACTCTTTTGGCACATCTTAGAATAACTTGCATTTTTAATTATGGTGTTTTTTTAAAGTGACTTCTGTATTTCTTCTACAAAAACAATGGAGGAAATTGTTAAAGTTAAACACTTTCAGGCTTTAGAAACGAGGATTATTGTTGTTCATCATTATAAATCGATTTTGAGCATTTTTTGAGTACCATTGTGAGTCAGACATGGAGGGTCACTTAAACTACATCGACAGTCCCATAATACTGTTCACATAATGTCTTATCATGAAATAGTTTTATAAAAATAGTTTTAGAGAGATTGTATTTTGTGTTTTGTACATCAATGAGATTTTAACTATTTGTCCTCTCATAAACATTTATAAATACTTGTATAGTACGACAACAATCCTTTTTAACGTAGTACTTTACTACAGTATTTCAGGAGTAAACAGCCTCTTTAATTTATTCCTATTCTCCTGAAATTGTTTTTAAACGCCGAGTCGTCAGGTCGAAGTATAAGGTCCTATATGTGCTTATTTTCTCATTAAACTAGTCAGTTGTCATAAAGACCATCTTTATTTTATCATCATATCAATGGGACCCATAAAACCGTGGAATAAGAAGACGACAGTTAGAGGAATGGAAGCGTGACCCTCCATGCAAAGAGGGTAATGCTCGATTTTCTACGGTATCCTTGAAACTTTAATTTGATAACAAAAATTGGACGATATCGTCGTTTTTCTGACTCAAAAGTGTCAATTTCTTCGAGTGTCTCCATTGCTTCTTCAATACACAAGAAATACGCAGGTCAGTTTTACAGAGAACTCTCAAATGAAAATAAACAGTTTAAAGAAACTAAAACATTGATACCTAATTCATACTTGATCAGACAAAGCTTTCAAGGGTACCGTTGTGAATCGGACAATACCATCTTTGCATAAAGGGTCATTCGAAATTACGCTTATAGTGTGTAATACAATTTGTATTTGACCTGGTTATTAAGCAAATATATTTTACCAGTTGCTTGAAAATCAAGTTAAATGGGTCATTTATTGTTCATTGGAATATTTTAATCATAATTTGAATCTAATTAGTGTCCTAATATTTCACTGCTTCATTGGTCTCACTGTTATTTTATTTTGATATGTATTTCACTGATTTTCAAAACTAATCGATTTAACGGAATTAAAAAAAAATTTCTTGTTTCCCTAGAATTTGAAATCAAAATGGCTGAAGCAGTTCAGCATGATCAACATCATCACAATCCTGATCATCATGTGCACTTCAGGTTAATCTAGAAGATGGGGGGTTGCTCTGATGATAAAGAATTTACGTTGAAATTGTGTGAAATTGAAATAGATTAAAGTTATTGTAAATTAAATTTCTATCGACCCTCCATGTTCGGTTTACACATATGTCATTTTCTCTTTAATAATTGATTATTTTTTATTGTGTTTACTCTATATGACTGGGGCCTGGGCTGGTTCAGGATTTATCTTACCGGTAGTGGTCGGATATTTCTGTAGGTGGTCTGGATTGAATAAGATGGGGCTTCTTGCAGATCTTATCTCACATATATACTTTGCTCGTCTGTCTGTTTGTTTGTTTGTATCCAATAAACGTCAAAACGGCTGAAGCAATGGGGCCCACATTTTTTGTAGGACCTAACGTGACCCCAGGAAATGTTTATGGATGCTGAAATTTTCGAAAACTAGGCTTTTAGGGCGCTTCGCGCCCATCTTCTATTTCAACTTTTAATTGTGGCTTTATTTGTGAGTATAAAATTTGTTTTCATAATATTTGTTCGCGCATTTTCAACATTTTACAAAAATAAAAAACTTTTAAACAGGGCCCGATCGGACTCGGTTCAGCCGTTTTGACGGTTAAAGGATACAAACAAACAGACAGACAGACAAGCCAAATTTATATATAGACTAGGCTTTTAGGACGCTTCGCGCCCATCTTCTATTTAAATTGTGAACATGTTCTTTTTGTTTACATTTTAAAACAAAGAAGAAGAAAATTTTGCGGATTTTAAAAAAAATCGCGGATTTTCAAGAATTTAATTTTTTTACAAAATTAAAAACCTTTAAACACATTTTTAAAAAAATTTTATCATTCATAAACCTTTCCTGTGGTCACGTAATGTCCCACAAAAAATTTAGCCCGATCGGTTCAGCCGTTTTGACGTTTATTGTATACAAACAGACAGACACCCAGACAGACAAGCCAAATTTATATATAGATTTGCTTCTTACAAAATTAGATTTTGAAAACTTTGAAAATCAACGTATTTTTTTTTATAAAATGCTCTAAATTTTTGTTTGTTTTTGTTTTACAATGTTTACAAAGAGAACATGTTCAAAAGTACTTACTTACTTACAGGTCATGATACTTTGTATGAAGGTTGATCGTCAATAATATTAACCTACTTTTTTAGGGAACCCATGAGTTCCCTAGGGCATGGGGATGACAAAAACTAAACAATTGGACATTTCAAAAATTACACGGGCGTCGCAATAAATAAAAGATTTATTTTTGCTCCATTTTTTTAGATTATTGTAATCTTTTTTTTTTATATAATACTTCAGTGAGGGGGAGGATAATCTAAAAGAGAACGAGATAGTTGTGAGGAAAAGGTCGGAAACATCCTGGGAAATCCAGGTATACCGAAGCTTTGTGTTTTTATTTCTCATAGATGTTTTTTTTAATTAAAAATCTCTTTTATCCAGTATCCTTATATGTAAAGTTGTAATCTTTGTTTGTTTGTCCGATCATAACTCAGGAACCCGTAAACCTATTTGCCTCGATTTTGGATTAGGAAACTCGGGAGACCCACGGGAATGTTATTATTTAAGGTTTTAAGATTCTAAGTTGAGTGGGTAGACTTTAATAGCGAAAATTTATTTTCCCGGTAAAATCGTTCAAGTGCTGGTAAACGGCGGGAGTAACTTTTAGTAAACCTGGGCAGCGCCGGGTTCCCAAGCTAATATAGTATTTAGTGTTTTTTATAGGTTTATTTCACTGAATTTGGGAAATAAGGGATGTTTTGATGCAACGTATTAATTACTGAGGAAATTTTACCCGAACAAATATTTTAAAGATTTTTTTACATCTTCTTTATCTTTTCACCTGTTACGGAAATTATACTTTTTTAAGGATTCCCATCGTCAGTTTTGTGAATTATCTCTTAGATGGTAAAAATTTAAGAAATTATCGAAAGTAGGCTTTTTGGTCTTAACGCGATGATTATAATGTCAGATAGTATTCCAAAGCTCTGAAGAAAAATCTGAGTTTTTCTAATTGCTTCTAACAAACTAAGACTAAAAGCAAGTGTAGATGTATACTAGGGTTACTAAAAATTATAAGTGAGTTAGTCAGGTGAAATCAAAGGCAAAGGCGTTGCAACACTTTGAAGTCAAGCCAGCCAGGGATATGTTTCCATAACAAAAAATAGTTATAATGTGTATTTTCAAATTAGCATCAATCACTTTATTGACTGATAAGTATATTTTAAATAGATGAAAAATCCTTTTATTGACTGATGATTATATCTTAAATAGATAAACAATCTTTTCATTGACTGATAATTATATTTTAAATAGATGAACAATTCTTTCATTGGCTGATAATTATATTTTAAATAGATGAACAATCCTTCTAATTGACTGATAATTATATTTCAAATAGATAAACAATCCTTCTAATTGACTGATAATTATATTTTAAATAGATGAACAATTCTTTCATTGACTGATAATTATATTTTAAATAGATAAACAATCCTTCTAATTGACTGATAATTATATTTTAAATAGATAAACAATCCTTCTAATTGACTGTTAATTATATTTCAAATAGATAAACAATCCTTCTAATTGACTGATAAATATATTTTAAATAGATAAACAATCCTTTTATTGACTGATAAGTATTTTTTAAATAGATGAAAAATCCTTTTATTGGCTGATAATTATATTAAATATAGATGAACAATTCTTTTGTTGACTGATAATTATATTTTAAATAGATGGAAAATTCTTTTATTGACTGATAATTATGTTTCAAATGGATAAACAATTCTTTTATTGACTGATAATAATATTTTAAATAGATAAACAATTCTTTTATTGACTGATAATTATATTTTAAATAGATGAATAATTCTTTAATTGACATATATTTCTAACTTTATTATTATTTTTAGCTTGGATTCCTGCAAGTTAATCACAGTTACGAGGTATGATATTATTCTAATAATCAATCAAATAAATAAGTAATTAATCAATCAATCAATCGTTAAATCAAATCAAGTCAAATTATATCTAAAATTCCTTAGTTCTAGCCAAAATGAAGCAGGAAAGAAGGTAACCTAGTTTTATATATGAAAATTTATTATGCGGGTTTTTAAGTGCAGAGACTAGGAAGTAACTTGACAAGGGTACTGAGTTTTTGTCACAAACTCTACTTTTCTAATCTCTATATCTTTGCTACCCAATGGCGTAGACCTTTGATATTTCAAACTATGAATTCTGTTAGAC